ACTGACTTTGTCTTCAACTGAAACTTCTGGGTCCAGCTCGACTTCGCGCAAGCCTACTATTTGTTTTGTCTCAATGGGGTCATGGAACCTAGGAGTAGGCTATGCATAAAACACGCGGCATCGATCTCGGCAAGCATCACAACAAACACGAATAGACTTGCTTAGGGCAAATCCATAATCGTAATAATATCAAGCCATTCGTTTCCATATTTTTGTTTCAGAATAAATCAAATGTGATTTTGTAACCCTGGGAATTCCCGCCAAAATTACGGTCAAGAGCATTCTGGGTATAATGACGTAGACCCCATACACGTCAATGTGTGCTCCTAATTTGTTCGGACTGTTCGAACCACGCATCACGGGAGCGCGGACAACCAGCAGCCAAAATGGCCACCACTCGTCGACACATCCCTCGAGATATCTCGGCGTGTCCACGGTAGTTTCATCCCGAGTAATGAGGTCCGGCAGTTTTCAAGTCCGTGGGGACCATCGGTAAATATGGGCCAATCGCTGTTGGAGCTCAACGCGCGCTGTGTAATGCCAAGGATGCTAAGATTCAAATGTGAAGTGAACCGCGACGTTGGCGGAATTGCCAAAATTACGCGTAAATGCATTGTGGAGTCAGATTGGCGGTCGCTCAGATATTATTTTTTCCGATTACAATCCAAAGTGCATGTATTAATTCCTTTCCTTCTTTTGACGGCCTTCTTCTTGTTGCATGAGAGTACATTTTGTAGTGAGGTTTCAAGTGATGCAGTCTGTGCATGGATACAGTTGCTAAGGCTTGGGAGTGGACTCAGAGTGCACACCATTTTGTACTGAAACTATAATTTGTTTTGAAATTACACCCAACAGCTCCCTATAGATATTTCCTTTTTTTGAGATTCGTTCAGTATATTGATTGATGCTAAAAGTCTGGTTCTTCCGTGACGGATTGACCTTTGAAGTAATAGCCCTTTGGGTAACACGGCAAAGACGGACAGATACACGACGAGGGAGTTTTAATAATAGTTCCTCGGGATGTGCTTCCTGCATTATCCCGAGGCACGAGGCTCAGACATGGATTATGACCTAATTACACTCTAGCCTCCATCACAAGTCGTCATTAGGTGTATCAGCGGATGAAGAATTAATGGCCAAACGCCCAAGGCTTCTACGCTTGTTCATTAACCAACAAATTGCATTATTTCCAGTCGCGAAGTCCAAATGAAAACTGGACTAATGAAGGTCGCGATATTGACGGGGAGTTGTTGTCATAGGTCCAGGTATTTGTTCAACCAGGGTAATCGTAGCTCGAGACGGTCAGCTGGGGTGACGGTTAATTAGCCACGGTGTCTTGAATAATTTATCACATTTGTGTTCATTTGTTGTTGTTTTAGGTTGTTTGCAAATCTGATAACAGACAGGGTTTGGATTGAGCACACCATAATGTGATGTTTTAAGTTATTGAGATAGCAACGAAGTGTTATTTTGGTTTGGTTAAAGAAACATAGGTGGGCATCATGTAACATACAAATGTACATGTAATTATAACTATAACCTACACCATACCAGCATACATTCAAGTACATGTATCTTGGTTCCTCGTGCACCAATTTATACCACGCATGGTTTGCCCATGCAGCTATAAAAAGGTTTTTATAGCTCCATGGTTTGCCATAATGAATTCCACCATAGTGTATGCATAGTGCCATCGAGGAACCAGACCATATGTACTTGGTGGTGTGACTACATGTATAGATATTCTCGTAATACAAGCCTTTGAATGTCAAGGTCTATATGTTTATTGTCGGTGACAATACAATATCAAATTGCAGAAAATGAGTAAACACTGACTCAGTGTGTAAGCAGTGCGACTGATTTGATGCTCGGAGCCGGTCATAAGAAATGTATCAGGCTTATATATTTTGGCTGGTGACCATTTTTTTATATCCAAATTTTTCTGTAAATAAGCCGTTATTCTGGCCTGCAGCACTATGAAATTGCCCCCATGCAGGCTGGTAACCCACATTACCATTCAACAGTACTCTTACTATCGTCTTTCGGAAACCAGACACCGATCAAGGTGTAAAAACGACTGTGGCGCGTATTGCATATATACGAATAAAGACATGTACATCAAACTTGGCCTTAATAAGCCTGACGTCCTTAACTTACTGCACTACAGCTAGCTGCATATTTGTTCATGTTAATGACCGTGTCGGGAAGAGGAAGGCCGGCCGGCCGCATAAACCGTTACTATGCACTCATCAGCTATAGCAATGCAAGGTACAACGAAGATTAATGATCCACGGTCTCATAAACGATAATACGCTAAAGGTACGGTAATGCTGCCATCGCATGTAACATTCACCTCCCTTAAACACACACCATTAATAATTCCTCGAGAGAGTCTGTAAATAAGACGGCAGTAGAAGCAATATTATGATAAGAAAGATTGTCAACTTTAAGTTTCATGAATTGGAAATAGCATAGAGTTAACTGATCCCGTGTCAAATCACGGGCGAGCGGAGGCTTAATAATGTATTGTGTTCAGTCAATAGAACATCAGCCATTTCCCTGTGTGCACGAAATTACACACACTACTGATGTTTGTTGTGAAGCCTGCCCACGTACGTATACGACCTTTGCAAACCCACGCCAAATACTGCTACAGGATGTCTATCAAAACAAAACAAACAGGAAATTGATCAATCTTACAAATGTCAAGCGTGAGTGTGTGTCGTCAACAACAACAACAACAACAACAACAACAACAACCGCAGACAACTGATACAACTGAAAAGGACCAGCAAATATTAGGAGTCGACTTAGAATTATAAAAAAAACCATTTGTTTAATCCTATTACAGTGATGAAGGAATACAAAATTCATTTGTAGGCAACATAAGCTTAAAAGCATTTCTTTCCACAATTCAATAGGTCTATTTATATTACAGTGTGTAGTCACATAATATACATTAAAGAAAAGAAAAAAAACCTAAACGAAAGATATTATTTTGATTCCCCATTTACAATTACAAATGAGCGGTGGAATAGGATACACGGGCATTAAAATATATAACAATAATGATACAAACTTCGGCAATTTGTTTTTATGGTTGTCACGCTGTGTACTCGAACAAACCATACTGCTCATTGACATTATGAATTCAAGGACACTGTCGATATTTGCAATCGTCAGTTATGTTGATAATGATATCGCAGATAACAACTGGAATAATTACATCCGGGGAACTTGACCTTCTCCCGCTAAATTGGTTACTTCGTTCCTAAATTCCGCTTTTGTTAATTCATAAGTTCGTTGGCGCATCTCCATGGAATCATTTAACTTCAATTCAGTTGATGTAGATAAGCCTATAGAAAAAACAAATCATCAGTGTTGGGCGGAAACTAATTAACACTTATAATATACCATTCTCTTTCAAACTAATCGCTTTATCTCATATTGATTGGAGAAGCATTACACCAATTGTTGTCATTGTCTTTTTCCGCAGTCATACATTGTATGCAATTATCAGAATACTGTACAAATGTATTACGAGTTTTCATACAGGCTGCAAAATATTGAATATCATAACCACAGAATGGCGCCGGTCCAATGATTTTTTTTTTTCTACTGGCACTGATGAGCCAGCAGTGCAATTGACGAAACCAGTTGCGGTGTTCAGAATTCCCAGTTTGGCATGATATGAAAATGATTCATCAACAATATCGCAATCATTTTTCACTTAGTTGTTTCCCCCATATTTTAAATTCGCTGATTGATGATGGGAAAGTCCAAGAAAAGGTCTATTTTTGTCCCACACGGAACGCCATGTTTTCTTTAATTCATCGCAAAGACTAATAACATACAAATTCTTGTGGGTATTTTCCTTGTAGAATAAAAAGCACTGAAATCCATGAATATCTTAGAGGGTTACACTTTCGTTACGTATGGGACATAGCGTGCGCGAATTCTTGGACTTGCCCTGAAACAAGGGGTTGTCGCGTACTCCAATATACGCCTTTATTACCGATAGAGTCCCTCTCTACTCAAAACAAATCCAGCTTATGTTTTGCAAGGTAATGTTATGAAACTTCATATTCATTCACTTCTGACGATCGTATATGCGAAGGTTATACTGTAGTGTTATTTATAGCTTTGTGCTGATCGTTGAAGCGAAAAGAAACGTGATAACTGTGTAATATCATATTTACATGATACAAATCTGTAATGGTGGTTTCGTTTCCGTTTACCAGCATACAACACAAGCAATGCAGTCCCATAAAACAATAGCCACGTTTTGGAATGAATAATATCAATGAAATTTGAATCAGAATTTAAGGTTATTTCACTCTATTTTACACGTTATAGTGTCAGAAATACATGTATGTGTATAACAAATTTGACGTCATAATTGCGTAATGAATCGATGAAATATGTTTTCCTTGAAAAAAAAGATGACTTATCAAAGGCCTTTTTTTTTTACATCTAATTAAATGCACCATAGGTATTAATTTGAAGGCCAAAATTAATTTGAAGGCCAAAATCATCAAAATGATTGGAGATTACATATGTTTCCCTTTGAACGTGTCCAAGTTGATATGCGTATTCAGGGTGGTGCAAAAAGAAGAAACCCACTTTTGACAGGAATTGTAACATACTTAGGCCTACTTAACTTACTTCAACTGTTTTTTTTTTATAATGTAGTGAAGTATAGCTCTTCAACTATACGTGGTGAAAAAATCTTTAAAAAAATCGCAAGAAAAATGTTATACTAATTTAAATACAAGTCACCAAAATCCGACTGTCTTCGACGTGTAAGTCTATAGTGAAGTGTTTATTTTGTTTTCAAATCAAGCTCCGGAGCTCAGTCAAGAGAATGGAATAAAGCCGTCCGTGGACAAACAGGTTTGGCACATGACATTTTTAAACTACCATATCTCAGAGACAAAATATGCATTTGTAATAATGTTTTCGTCACAACTGTTTAAAGATCAATATTTTAATACTATTAAATATAATTTTTGAAATGTGCTCAACAAGCAGGTGAAAATTGCTGTCAGAAGTGGGTTTCCTTCTTTTAGCACTGCTCTGCATAGCAAGCCGAATACGAGCTTACCGACTTCGTGGAGCTGCTCAGCTTAACACGTCGCTTAGCAGATTCATGAGCAAAGAGCAGTTGCACAGTCTAGAACCACAAGCAACAGATCTGTGCATCACATTCGCATGAGATTTGGTTGGTGATCAGACCTGTTTTGCCGTCAGTAAAACTTTTTAGTGTGCTTAGCAACTCCACAAATTATGCTCGTCAACACCATGCAACCACTTACACAGTGCATGTATATACACAGATATTGATATCTTTTTATCGTAAAAAAACCCATAAGAGATATCATTGTATAACTGGACTGCTTTCAACGTATTGTCTGAACGGATTTCAAATGAGCACGAATGGTGAAACTTTAAGTGCTCAACCATCGAAAGGACACTGAGCATGCTGAGGCCCTTTCCTTGTTCAATCCTCACATGCAAAGAAGCACTGAGGAGGCCCTTTGTATCGATACTCCTTTGAAATTCGTCTTTACACCTACGTGTAACAAAGATTTTCTTTGTAAGTCCACCTCGGATTCTAAAGGGGCATAATGTCGAGGACAACTTTATAGAGTGGTGGGCTGATACCATAGTAGTAGGATAGGCCTTCCACTTCAACAAAAGAAAATATATTTGGCACTATTGAATAAGTATGAATGCGATTGGTTACTTCATTGTACGGGTATACCCTTATTTCAACATATTGGGGTGTCATAAACAAACATTACTTGATTTTACTTGTTTCTTCTAAACATACTCTGTGGAACTCTCAAATTAATATGTTGTTTGAAACGATTCAGGGATCTCCTTGGGACGTTAGTGTATGTACATGTACATGTACTTTGAAACGGTCAATATTTGTATATCCCATCTTAAAACCGAGATTTAAGGAATACGGTTAGCGACCAGTTAACATGCTATAATTGCTTACACACATGATGTCCTCAGCATAAGGTCACTCCCAAGGCCTCTGGGCTAATTAAAACCAGCCGTCGTGAAGTGTTGACATATCTACAACGTGATAACATATGATACGGGCACGAGGAGGATGAGTCTGCATACGTCACAGTCGGTACTGATGAGACGACCACTCGTAATGGACGAAGCGGTGGCCGAGTACGCTGAACCGAGTCCCAGGGATTTAGCATGGACTGGTACTGTGGCCTAACGCGTTCTTCCATCCTTACGTCTGCAATCCAATTTGCTTCGAGATTTGATTTGTCAGATGTGGCGCCGCTAGCCGTGTGTATATAGGCGGACGGGGAAAGTCATAATTGATCCTACATTATTAAAGCAATGAGCAAGTCTTGACTTGGACTCACCCAGTAAGAAATGACACTGTGCACTGAAGATTCTCCAGACTACAGGGGTGATTGTTTTTTTGTAAATTGTCACTGAATTGTCAATGCAGGAAGTGGGGCAGTAAGCGGCCATGTTGTCTAATTCCATGACGACAAGTGAGTGAAATTAAGAAGAGTGACGGGCACCAGACTTTTTTTGAAATGACGCTCGACTTTGTGCGCCCTGGAGGCTGTCGAGATTTCCAGTTTGGAACATTTTCTGACGAATGGCAACATGGATGCGTTGTAGCTAGTCGACACATTTAGTGGTGAAGTTCGCATGAAGTTTTTTGGCTCGTGACGCAGGACTTTTGTTTTGAAGAATACAAGTTTAATAGAAGAAAAGAAACAAGTTTCGTGATTTTGAGGGTAACGCAGTTTCTTGTGTTAGCAGCAACTCGTGTTTTTAGCAGCAACTCGTGTTTTCCTATTTCTTTTGCAATACCGGTTACATTTCACCTTTTCATAAGTTTGTTTGTTCGTGACTCCATTGATGAATAGCACGATGCACTTTTGGACGGTGCAGTAAACACTATAACTCAGTCCGTATGTGTTTATGCAGTTTGTATTGATTCGTGTGCCGTGTTTACACTGCCTGGGCTTAGCAGAACTATACAGCACAATCAACAAAACGTGGCATGAACCGTATCTTCACCGCCATTGTGAATCGTGCAACACAACCCTATATTTTCAATGGCTCCCGAACGTTTAGTTTAATCAACAGTCGATGAATTGAAAGTTTAACTTGCAAACACTTGTTGCGTATTATGGGGAGTGCTCACTGCAAAAAGACAACTGGCGATATTCCTGCATAATCACTACACGTACGTGGTACTGCTCCATGTAAAATCAATGTAACTGACTAATATACAAGTCAAATGCGATATTACGAATTCAGCTGAGGTGAGAGACGAAGAAGTCACATACAAGCGTGGGAAATCGGTGGGAAACATGAAGGTAAAATATCCAACATTGTTGTGAAACACAAGCTATACTGTTGCTGTTTGTATCACGTTCGCTGCCTTCCCAAATACACACGTATATTAAGCAGGTACATGATGGAACTGATTATATACAGAGATTTGCAGTTGATAGTTTGTTCATTTCCGTTTCCGTGTGTCATGATTCCTCGGAATCAGGTGTCATGAGAGGGCTGACATTGGAGTTCCTATCCCGTAGGGATGCCTCCCGTCGCATTCGGCGAGTCTGTCTCTCCTCAAAGTTAGACTTGAGGACCCAGACCACGAGGCCGATAAATGCCGTTACAGCAAGCAGACAGATGATCACTCCTTCGTACATGTATTTCTGAGTAGCCACAGAGTTATAGCTGTACCTGAAACCAGGGACTTTATCCCCGGGCTCTGGGTTGCCGTTCATCTTGGGCCCCGTTAGTGATCCTTGGTCGCTGGCGCTGTACGAGTAGTCTTGAAGTTGGGACTCCACGTCCGATGCCGATCCCTGAATAGATGCACAATGTGCCCGCCAAACCCCGTAGCCCAGCACCAGTGTCAAAACACGCAGGGGTGTGTTCATTAGAGCGTGGAGAGGCATTGTAGTCCTGCAGAGTAACACAAATAACCCTCTCGTGGAGGGCCAACACGCCCAAAGCTGTTGGATTGCCATGGCGCTCATGCGAAAACTTTGGCAAAGTGGGATTGATGTCTTTACTTCCCTTGCCTCCCAAACATATCGCAGTCACACTATTCAATGATAAAAACTTTGGTTGTGCTTCAGTTACGATAATGTATTATTCACAAATTATACACAAACGTTTACTCCTGCAGACAGCAAAAAGCGCGTGGCATGATTATACGCGTGGCTGATACCACCCTGGAATATCAATTGCCGACAGTCGCACACACGACTCCTAGTTCCCAATGAACTAGTACTGAGTGTTACGTGACGTCATCTGCGCTGGTGACCCAATCACACATTATGATGCCATACATGTTGCTACCAGCTGTTGTCAATGCGAAGCCAAGTTCGTTCCCGTAGGGATGTTTGAGTGGCTCGGTCGATGATGAATTCCAAACGTACTGTGGGGGTGAACATTGGCCCTTGTGCCTCGTCACTTGCCAGTACAATTCCCCATCGGGACCTATAGCATGCAAACAAAGTTTGAAAATGGAAGTTATTAATGTGTAAACACATCTGATGACAAACGATAAAACTGAAGCCAGTCGTAATTCTGAGCAGACATTGAACTAGTTTTTGCACTTACCAAATACAATTTGCTTAAAGTATGTAGGGAACCATATGGTTTGTTTTGACTATGGTACTTTATTTTGAATACAGTATCATAGACAGTATTAATTTTTGTCTCATTTGTACGACTAGCTTTTGTGTGAATTGAGCTTGTGATTAGTGTAAGTAAATTAAGGGAATTAATATCATTCTGAAATGTCAAATTTTGACGAAGGGTAGGCGTTATGTTCTTATCGACAGGTAGACTCGTCAAATAGATGCAGTTCTATGTTGTCTTAGCATGAAACTCGCTTACACGAAATAGGAGTCAACTATATAACACTCCGACACAATGCTTGGGATGTTGGAATTGCCTTTTAGAAAACTTGGCTCCCCAATCTGATTACAAAGTTGTCATTTTTAAATTTTATCCACTGATAAGAATGCTCTACAGTATGTCCCCCCAAAAAATGTCCGTCAGACTGTTTTTAAAATAACTACAAAGCCACGAGGTCAATTTTGAAAACTGTTGGTTATGCAGATACTCCTGGATCCTTAGCCTGGGCCTCAACCCGTATGAGTTTTATTGAATTTCAGTTACGCCTCACTGCATAATGGTCAATTGATCACAACAACATTTTTGGACACTGTGACCAAGTTCCATGCCTTAATCCATTTCAGTGCTGTTTTAAGTAAGCTGTATAAAATCCTGCATGCATGTTGTGAAAAAAAGGCTGATGTGGTTTGGGATTGGAATCATTTGCCGTTAAACTGGGGTCTTGCCACGATAACTGGCAGCTAGGCAAATGATTCCAATCCCAACTGCAGCGGTCATTTTCACAACATCAAGGATTTGAATAAGGCAAGGAACTTGGCCACATGGTCAAAAATGTTGTTGTGATCAACTGACAATTGGGCAGTGCTGCGTGACTTAAATTACATGAAACTCATAGGGGTTGAGGCCAAGGCTTAGGAGTAACTGCACAACCAAACTTTTTCCAAATTGACCTCATGGTTTTGTAGTTATCTCAAAAATAGTCAGACAGACACTTTTTGGGGGACATACTGTAGTGCAAATCTGCATGCACGAGAAATGATATCGCTGTCACTTCAGTCGATTAAAGGCTATCTAGGTTCAAGCGAAATCTCGATTTTCCCTGTCTTCGATACTACGCAAGGTGTGCGATCAACCTGACTACCTCTTGTCCGGTTTAATGGGTCCATCCAATTACGAAATTTGAGAAACGAGAATAAATGCCATCAGAACTGGTCAAAAAAATACCGGCAGCGGAGCGTAATCTCAATTTTCATTTACATTATGATTGTCGTTGATGCGGAAGGGTCATCGCGTCAGATAATACCGCCGAATCGATTTCTTGTCTTGCCCGTGACCAGGCCGGGGGTTTGATGTGATATTTCTGGAGGGAAATTGGAGTACATCTGGTGGGGGATTAGCCCACTGACCGAGTTACCGTCGGGGAGAGGCGCTGGCCGGATTGTTGAATCACGGATTTCGATCTCTGGAATTGGACGGCCTGCGTGTGCTGGTTAGTTCAGGCACGCATCCTATACACACAGGATTTGTGGTTCAGGTGTTGCTAATGATGATAGAAACGATTGGTATTACTGCTAATGCTAAATTCGTGCCACCATTTTATATGCAAATATTTTTATGGATGGCGTGCAAAGTTAATATTTAATCCCCAAATATTTTAAATAGAGATATCTCTATCTAATACAGATATCTTTATCAGTATTACTTTTAGAGGGAGAGATATATCTATTAGGAATAGAAATATCTCGTTTAGAAATAAAGATATCTGTATTAGAAATAGACATATCGGTATTAGAGGGATATATATATATATATATATATATATATATATATATATATATATATATATATATATATATATATATATATATATATATATATATATATATATATATACTTTAGTAATAGAAATATCTCGTTAAATGTTCAATTGCACGCCATACCAATGAAACAGCGAATTAAAAAAAAATGCTGATAGTGCTGTATAAACAATGTAAAAAGCAGAATCAGTGATAAAGAAATGTTCAGATTGCGAAATGGGCAGAAAGACCATGGGAAGAATCCGGGGACGTGCGGACCCGTGCATGCATTGGAATTTCAACCCACAGTTTGGGCTTGATGGGATTGGAACCCGGGTCAGAGAGGTTGAATATGAATTACGTAAACCCATGCTGCAACCCGACTCCTTGCTCATGGCTCGTATTTTACATAACTCTCGAGGACAAGGCATTGTCTTTCCCTTTGTCACTATAATATAACACTCTCCATAAACTAAGCACAAAAACTCACGATCGAGGACCATTTTCAACAAAAGATGAACTCTCAAGGACAAGAAAGAACCTTTAAGTGTGCTATTGCTATCCTTGTTTGCCACTATGAGCTTTCACCAAACCATTCAAAGGACGATTACACCATTAAGGACTCGCACAACGACATCCTGTCTTCAGACAATGTAATCTGTACTGGGGCTTGTCCAACATTTTCTGTCGTAGCATTATAGTTCCCTTCGGGTTACAGATGCAATAAAATATATAATGGTAAACTTTACTGCATATCGTATACTCGGGGATGAAAGTCAGCGTTGAACTCTCCATAGTGCGACAACCCCGATATACATGTAGATGCATAGACACTTAAAGAAAAACCACCATTTTTTTTCGTGAGGTTATCATCTTGCAACGGGAGAGTACGCCTGGCCAACTCACAGCATGATATTAAATAATTGTAATACCGAGATGTGTCTCCGGGCGCTTTCGAAGAAAAAAAAAATTACCAATAAGATCGGCTGATGAGGTATCAACTGTCTCCCTGTTAGTGGAGGGTTATATAAATACATGTGTTGCCTGCAGTTTGGGAACTTGATGAAGACATGTATGTAATATGAGCACTACAGTGATCCGATATATCTTCTTTAACCGAAGATATAGATTATGTCTTTCATGCTTTGTGTATGCATTGTTTGTTTCCCCGAGTTTATCCTTTGGTTAGTGTTCTCTGAGCATATACGTGTGCTTATATAAAACAAACATCGTCTTTTTATTCTTTGGTATATGAGTTTTAATTGGCTGCAAGTTGTTATATATACACACTTGTTTTTATACCAGGCCTGTGACGTCAAGATGCTGTTCAGTACATAGATGGAGTATGGACAACCATTTATGATTAATGTAAGGGGAAATCGTCTATAAGCATGGGTTCAACATGCTTTCAGAAATATATTTAAATCCGTATACACATCGAAACACACATGTTAGTTACATCAACCTACTATGTGTTGTACAAGCCGTAGCTTGCTTGCTCGCTCACAGATGACTGAAATTGGAAAATGCCCTGAATGTACTATCTATAGTAAAGGTAAAGGAATAAACTACGCATGAACTATCTGATGTACGTGTAAATGTCCAGCAAGATTGCCCGTGTCTTTAAATGTCACGCCTGTACGTGAAGCCTTTTCCAGCAGTTATTAAAGACTTTGAGTAACGATCGGACAGGAAGAGCGAACACTGTGGAGGCTTTGAAATTAACTTGCTGTACTTCGTAGCTGTTTGTTCAATTCCCTCACGGTAAATCAAGTGAACTTCGTTCAATATCCTGTGACTATGGGCCCCGTAGCTTGTCAATATCTACACGCTAGCTTCCAACATCCAGTAAAAAATGCTGTTCTCTGTTTTGCGCCCAAACCGAATTGGTAGGATTTCCAATATTCTGCAATCTTGTCGTGTTCTCCCCACATGTGTACTAACCAGGTACTAGGGAGGTTATCATAACCTGATCGGGGGTACATGCATGGTTGCGTATTGACTGTGAACCTTTAGTATTACTGAGATGGGCGTCAATCGGTGGGGGACGGGAGGGGGTGGGGTGGGCGCCCCCCCCCCCGCTTTTTATAGTTGGGGGTATCAAATCTTTGTCCCCCCATACTTTTTTCGTCCCCGAATAAAAATTGTAGCCTATATATGATTCCATATAGCTCAGAATAGCTGATTTAATACTCCAAACTCGTAAATGATGTTTAAATGATAATGTTTTGCTAAAAAAAAATTTGGTTAAAGTGTTCAGAAATTGCCTCAGATTGCACCACAGAGCGTCTAGAATCCAAAATGTCGCCTTTAGGGCTTCGCGCTACGCGCTCGCATTAATTCTGATCAAGGTATGGCCCCCACTTTTGAGAAGCGATTGACGCCCTTGATTACTGATCTGTGTCAGTGGGTTTTTTTCAGTTCCGCCTTTGACGGGAAATGCTAAATAAAAATAAACCAATAGAAGATCACGATTCGCTTGCGAGTGTGGAACAATACATCCTCAATTTTTTTCCCAGCCGTAACATTAAACAATTATTTTACTTGCCACACTCTGAGCTGAACATTCTGACTGCTTCGCATGCATATGACACTATAAATGCTACTTCTTTTATTCAATAGTTCAATAATATATCCCATCGACCTTACTCTAAACATTATTTTTTGATGTGATACCTTAACATTGAGACAAACATCAATAATGCATGGTCGCAGTCGCGCATAAGCTGTATACATAATTCAACAAGCATACTAACAATTAATTATTGAACTGTACCGAAGGTAATCATCGAAGTTAACCATCGAAAGGTAATCATCGACATATCATGTACAGAAATTTTGCCAGGTCTTTAGTGAACACGAGCTTTGTGTCTAATATTCTAATATTATCGAATGTTTTTGGGATTTTCGATAACACTTCGATAACATTTTCGATAACAGTAGGAATCACCTTTTATTCACTCCTTACTTTTAGGCCCCTAAAGTATGATATTTACTCAAGCACTTGACTCGCTACCTATGTGCATCCGGCAAGGGAACACACAAATCTGCCCGCTGACG